CGTACTTGACGATGACGCGCGTACGCAGGCGTACTGCGTTGGCGACGCCAAGGCGCTCTGCTTGTGTGGGCGGAGGTGTGTGGTAATCCTCCAAGTGACTGGAGAAAGTGGGGTGCGTGGAAAACGGCGGGGTCCGGAATAAAGCGGGGGAGAGAGGAAAAGGGCCAGAGCCTGTTTTCCGGCTGCTGGATTACAGGGCTGTGTCCTGCAACCTCTCTGGGCCTCTCCAGGCGAGGCTGAGCGGCTTTCCCTCACTGGTTTAGTGTGAATTAACCGTGGGAGCTATTCTGCTCCCAGGTGTGAAGGTAGAAGGGTTAATTTGGACTACGCTGGGCAATGACTTTCAAGTCCGTATTCTTGAGGAGTGCAGTTCATTTAGGAAGAAACACAAGGTCTAGAACCTAGCTTGTACTTAAAAAAAAAAAAAAAAAAAAAAGGGGGGGGGGGAACTGTAGATAAATATCTTCGCTCTGTCTCCTCATCTCTAAAATGAAATGGTTGGAGCACTGTAATTTCTGCCTCCCAGTATTTTGCCTTTTATCGTTCTGGCTGAGAAAGAAATACTTTGGAAAAACGGACCACTTTTGCACTTGGCCTCTCGAACACATTAATAGTGTAGAGTTATGCTTTCATTGAGATTCATTCATTGGCGTTCGTTGGGTTTATTTACAGGTAGTGTTTATGCATCGTTAATATTCCTAGTAGACCATTTTAATGTTGTTAAAATATGAAAGTGTTGTGTTTTCTTAATGTTAATCCTCCTTTTCATAGACAATGGTGAATACTTCACCATTTTGCCTCATTTCAGAAGTAAAACCTAAAAGTACTGAAGTTGATGCTTTTGAATTCTGTGTCATTTTTATCCTCTTTTATTAGTATTTTTGAAGACATCTGCACCGCCTGACTGGGAAAAGATGGTCAACGTTTTGAAAGGAGTGCTTATAGAATGGTTAGTAGTTTTGGTATTTCCTGAGTTTTAAATGTACATATTGAATCTTGATTTACATATATACCTTTTCTAAAATCATATATATTTTGTTCTAAGATCTGAATGAACTCAAGTCTTTAAACTTTTTCAGCTTCAGTTTTCTTATTTAACTGATGGAACAGATTTTGTCTCTGTTTCTGGGAGGTGCCAAATTTCAGTATCTCTTAAACTGATGTAATTTTCATTACTTCCAACATTGTTTTCCCTTGATAATGAGAATTCAACTTCATGATTTCATTATCGATTTTTTTCTTACTATGAATCTTAGCAACTTCAGCATGTAAATTTATCTTATTAAGTCAAGAACTTTCATATAAAGGGAATGAAGAGAGAGCCATTAAAAAAGAAAACAGCTGGTTCACAAAGGTTATTTATGTGTAAAGATTAAGACTTGGCACTTCATATCATGCCAATTGAAACTGGTATATATGTGAAATTTGGCTATAATCTCCCCAATCCTGATTTCTCTGCAGATCAGATAAATTTAGTTTCAGTTCAGCGACTTGGAACTTTAGCATGAGTGATTCCATTTTTATTTTTAGCCTGGTCTTTACAGGAGCTTAGTCCAAAATGATGGCCTCCTATAATTTTTACTTAACAGAGCATACAATAAAGAAACAAAATAAGTCAGATTATCATGGTGGCCATTTAGGCTTAGCTTCAGTGGACTGAAAAATGAAGGCACTTGAATGTAATAAAGTCCTTCTGTCTCAAGGCTTATCAGATACCAAAACCTGAGGCTGAGGGACTAAGGGCCCAATGGTAGAAGCAGTGCTTAGCACGTGAGGCCTCTGGTTCAATCTTTGATATTAAAAAAAAAAAAAAGGCTAAATCAGAACTTTATAAATTTCTAAATTATGTCAATAAGGTTAACAAAAATATCTCTTTCGGGATTCAACATCACCTTCCAGGCTCACACCCAGCATTTTCCCAAATCTGGCAAACCCAGCAGTTATTAAAGCAAGCAGCATATGTCCAACATGCGTTTGAGTCCAATTCCCGTTGCTAAAGCAGACTCCTGATGTGCAGTTACCAGGGTTGGTTTGGCAAGTAGTTTAGCAAAGATGATTTGTTACAGAGGTACAAATTCCAACTAGTTTATAGCACAGTAGCAAAGAATATGGAAAATATGTATTAATCTAACCTGATCCTTCTAGAACTATTTGTATCTAAGAAGCAAATAAGAACTAAGGTAAAACCAGTCTTAACTAGTGTGTTCTTCCTCCCCTTCCCCTCCCTTAACTCCTCCCTCCCACCCCTACTGAGGATTAAACATAGGGCCTTGACACTGAGCTCCGTCCTCCGCCCTATTTTTTTGTTCTCAGCCCTTTTTTAAATTTTTTATTTTGAGACAAGGTCTTGCTACATCCCTAAATTGCTCAGGCTGGGCTTGGATTTGTCATCCTGGGTCAGCTTCCCAGAGTACTTCGATCACAGGTGGGTGCCACGACACCCAGTTATTGTTCTCTTTTACAGTATTTTAAGTTTTGTCCACCATTGCTTCTTAGGAGGGCTATATTCTTGATGTTTCCCATGCATCCAAAACAATGCCAGATCAGACACAGAAACACGCGCACATGCTGCTTTGTAAGCATTTGTTTACTGAATGAATTTAATAGAATCGAATACTAGGTTACTAATGTTTCATTAGAGCTCTTCTGTCCCCACAGTGAGAATTAAGAATGGATAAGAGTATTGAAGAAAACTTATCAGAGGCCATATTTAGAATCAAGCTCCTGCACTAGGACCTGGCAGACCAGGCTAAAAACTGTATGAGGTAGTTGATTTTAAAACAAGTTAAAATTATGAAGTAATTTGAAATGAAAGCCTTGTAAGAGATGATTAAAATAACAGGAATAATATACAAATTGCCAAAAATTTTAAAGCACTGGTTTAGTGATTGAGCACAGAGGTGAATCATTTAGGTTTTACTTCATTGAATAATGTTAAGTTTATTCCATTTAGAATATTTCTATAGATGTTAGACTTCAAAAGCATTTAACCGTTGCTGCCTTTAATACTTTTTAATAGCAGCTTGTTAGAGTAAAGTGGTATCACCTATCAATGCACTTGAGCTCAAATAATATATCACATTTAAACATCAATTTTATAATGTCTTGTTTGTCTTTATTACTATGTTACATTTGAAACTAAAGTTTTATTTTATAAGACAACCATTCATCCTATTGTGTGTCTTTCCAAGAAAGTGTGATTTTTATAGACTGTGTTGAGGATCTTGTGGGGCCTGAGATCATCAGGGATCTGGAGGAGGGGTGGCACCAGTGTCACCACTTAAGTCCTTGTTCACTGGGAAAGGAGGAAGCAACTTGCTTATAGAGCACTAAGCTGCAGGGTTTTGTCTTCCTAGTCCTCAAGCCCTCATACCTGACTACTCCAAATAATTGCTGTTTTATTCCTTACCCTGACCCTACCTCCATATTTATGTATAGCCAAGGAAAAGTTTTTGAAGAATCTGAGTATAAAGAAACTGGTTTCCTCCTAATGACCCCCTCATTATCGTTTCTGTAACATAATCTGAAAATACCTGATTAAATTAATTTCATAAACCAAGTTTCCTTCTAGAATTCCCCTTTAAGCTCTTTGCAAGTAATTAGTAAATTGTTTGCCTCATTGAGATTTCTGTATATAGTTTATTGCTTTACAAAAATTTATTTTTTATTTGGTGTAATTGCTAAAAGTGAGAAATTGCTGAAAACATGAAATTTAATATATTTAGTATTTGTTTAAATCTGTCTTTGTAAAAGATCCTATCACCAGCTCTTTCTGTTTTGAGACCCTTGTCATAATGCACTGCACTTTATGTCTACTTTTCCTGTTTGTCAGTTCCCCCAAAAAGCCACAGAGCTCAAAACTGACCCTCACCCTTTGGACTCTCATTATCTTACGTCTCAATTCACCTGTTTTTAATATTTATCTTCTACCTCACTCCACAAAATCCTTTCCACACTGCCTTCAGAACATCGTAAGATAACAGCAGCAGAACGCCTGTACCTTCAGCTTCTTCTCTGAACATTGCTTTTTCCTTCCATAACTCATATCTTGCTCCTAATTGCCATTTTGAGAAATTCTCCCTACCTCTTCCACGGAAAGCCCCAGTTATAAATCTCAGGTTGTCAGACTATACCACTCACCTCCTCTTTATAATCGTCTACAAACACTTGAATCTTTGCTGAACATTTTTCTTTGATGGTTACCTGTTACAGTTTAGTAGCTCTCCTCTCAAATCCTTAGTGATTTTAGTGTCTGTATGGACAGTCTGTCAGTACCCCATCCTGTCCAGTCGCTGAGTGCCAGTGAGCTTTCCTACACTATTTCCAGCCACTTATGTGGCTACACTTATGTAGACCAGTCCTTTCCAAAACTGCCAGAATCTCATTTTCAGACTTCTGACTGCGACCACTACCTCCTCTTTCCAAGTCAGTTCCCTCTGGTGCCCTTTCTCCACTATTTCTTCAACTCCACCAGACCTGCACTTGCTGATCCTCCCACCTTTTTTAATCCCCATATCTCTTTGCATCTCCACTCTTTTCTGCTTGTAGCAATATTTCTTAGAAGACTTTTCTGTTCATTTTCTGTAACTGCTCTCCAATTTGGAGACTCACTTTAGGCAAGCTTTCTCTCTCACAACTCACCCAAATTGCTCTACTCAAGGTCAGTAATTTTCTGAATCCAGTGCTCGTTTTTGGTCCTTCTCTTCTTGTTGCAGCATCTGACGCAATTGATCATCCCCTCTTTCTGGTTAGCCTTTGTTCACTGAGCTCCAGAACGCTTGAGATTTTCTTTACCTCAGTGGTTATTTCTTCATAACTTTGCTGTGTCCTCCTTTTTCTTTCTTTTTTGATACTGGAGTGTCTAAGAATTGTTCTTTGGTCTCTTTTCTGTGGCTATATTCACTCTCTTGCTGTCTTTGAGTACTATTGTATGCTGATGATTTAATTTTATTCTTTACCACTAAACTCTAGAATTGTGTATCCAGCTTCTCATGTGTGCAATAGATGTGTCCAGATGTAACCTGCCTAAAAAATCAAACTCTTTTTTTTTCTTTTTTGGTACTGGGGATTGAACTCAGGACCTTAACATTTGCAAGGCAGTTGCATTGCTATTGAGCTAAATCCCCAGCCCAAAAATAGAAACTCTTGATCACATGTACAAACTTATTCTGCCTGCATTCCTTCTCATCTTTATAAAATACTTCATCCTTCCATTTGCCCAAACCAAAATTCTCTAAGTTTCCTTGATTCCTCTCCAAAAGATTGTGACTAGTCTACAGATTCTTAGCTTTGTGTAAACATGTATCCAGAATTTAGTCACTTTTCATCAATACCACAAGTCCAAATCATTATTTCTCTATTCTGGATTACCACATTTGCTTAATTGGTTCCCTGTTTCTTTTAGTTTTTCACTTGGCAGTGACAAATTATTCTTTAGAAATCATTGCACTCTTTCTTACACTTGTATTCCCAATCTTAAAATGATGTTGCATCCATAAATTGTTACCATTTGAAGCAGAGAGGAAATGATTAACTTGAGTAATAGTTCAAAACTTTAAAAACTATCCTTAAAAATTGTACATACTCAAATGTAATTGCGTCTTTGTGGTGTGGTTTAACCACAGGATGTCTTGTAATTGTGTGTTTAACTCTCCAGTGATCCTGCCATGAAACAGTTTCTCCTGTACTTGGATGAATCCAATGCCCTAGGAAAAAAGTTCATCATTCAAGATATTGATGACACTCATGTCTTTGTAATAGCAGAGTTGGTTAATATCCTCCAGGAGCGAGTGGGCGAATTAATGGACCAAAATGCTTTTTCTCTTACCCAGAAGTGAAAATACTAGATATTGGACACTGAAAAATTCTAAGAAACACCTGAAAAACTATCTTTCTTCAGTATCTTAATTTGACTGTTGACTGTTTTGAGGATTCCTTAGGAGCATGCTGTGGGAAAGTGTGTGATCATTTGTTCAAATCCCCTGAAGCAACTTTGTTTTTAAAAAAAGGCTTTAATGATTGGCTGTAATTTGGCTTTTATTATCTTTTATGAAAATATAAATGTTTCTCTTTTGTGTGTATGTGTGTGTTACTGGATATCAACAGCCTCATGTATTCTAGGCCAGCACTCTTATCACTGAGGTACATCTGCAGCCCGTCATTACCATTTTATTTTATTTTATTTTTACTACCTTTTTAGTACATTTAAAATATAAGGAGTGGTGGCACATGCCTATAATCCCACCATGTGAGAGGCAGATGCAGGAGGATCACCATGAGCTGAAGCCAGATAGGGTTACATAGTATAAGGCCAGCCAAAAAGCCAGACATAGAGCTGGGTGTGGTGGCACATACCTGTAATCCCAGCACTGGGGAAGTTGAGGCAGGAGGATCGCAGTGAGTTAGAGACCAGCCTGGGCTACATAGTTCAGGTCAGTCTCAACTACATAGTGACACCCTGTCTCAAAAAAACAAAAAAAAACACCCAAAAGCCAGAAATAAAAAATGAATATAATAAACTGAGCCTTTAAATTATTAGAGTAACCTGGATACTTATTTTGCTTGTTCCTATTAATGATTGGGGGGTTTTAAGGTATGGATATTGTTTTATTTCAAATAGAAATTTCACTGATTGTTTAAATATGCTAGGGTGGAAACTGGTAATAATTATGTCTCACAAATAATATATATGTGGGGCTGGGGGATTTAGCCCAGTGGTTCTGCTGCCTGCCTCACAAGTGCAAGGTCCCAAGTTCAATCCCCGGTACCAAAAAAAAAAAAAAAAAATCAAATAATATATATGATCTAGTCAGCTCTATTGGTGAAGAAGATATAAATATAAACTACAGTTTTCGTTCCCCTTTTTAAAAAAAAAAGTGCAGAGAAAAAACTAAATGGGAATGGCAGATGCTGCTTTGACTCTCCAGTTTTTCCTTTTTCAAACTTTGTTGCTTGCATTTTTCTTATAAAGGCAAGTGTTCTTTTATTAAGTAATTGGGCAAAATGAGACAGTGGCTGACATATATGTGTAGCTAATTGCAGGAAAAATGCACAATCAGTTATCTTTGAGAGTAGAGTTGCAAAACTTGGATGGTATATTTCATAAATTCCTCTATCTTAGGAAGCTCTGAATATATGTTTATATGTTAGAATATACATATTATAGTGGTTAAAACATACAGGAAATGCAGTCAGGATCTACATTAATAGTAAATGTAGCTGGGTATGTTGGCACATGCCTGTAATCTCAGCATTCAGGAGGCTGAGGCAGGAGGATGGCTAAATTTGAGGCAAAGTAGGAAGGAAATGTTACATTCCTTATCCATATGCTCTAATCTAAACCAGATGATTTTTTTTTCCTCATGTCATTTGGTATCTGGTTGACTTACTTTCTCCTTACTTAAACAAAAGTTAAAGCAGGAAAGGTTTATTTTGGCTCACAGTTTGTAGAGATTTCAGTTCATAGTTGGCTGACTTCAAGGCAAAGGGGTATGGCAGAGTTCATTTTATGACAGGAAGCAGTAAACCTTTCCCTTTTTATTCTATCCAGGCTGCAAGCCTATTGGTTAATGCTACACCCAGAGTATGTTGTCTCTTTGGTAAATCCATCATGCACACCTAGAACTATACTAAACCAACTAATGAACTAAGCCAGTATCATACCTATGATCCAGCCAGCTCAGAAAAGCCTCACCTATGAGCACATGAGGCTTTGGGGGAACTTATTGATATAAGCCACAACACTGATTAAGTGTTCTCAGAATAATGGTACTAGAAGCATAGAGTAAAATACAAGGTATTACAAGAGAATTACATAATTACTTTTTAAAAAATGTTTTTTGAGACTGGCCTTGAACTCACTGCTAGCCTCAAACTCTAGTCTTCCTACCTCAGCCTCTCAAATGGTGGGATTACAGATGTGCACCACGATGCCCAGCTTCAGTAATTGAAAAACTACATTTACTTTGTTGTCTATGAGAATCCCTATTAAATTTAAGAAAAGTATGAATAGATAGAAGCAGTCAGCCTTGTGGGAAGCAGTATATTAGGTTAAAATATGCGCACAATTCTATGATTGGTTCTCTAAAAACTAATGCATAGGGACTCTGCTTCTCTTCCTGAAGATAGTGCCATTGTAATAGGTTGCTGATGGAAAATTTCCACCAGAAAACTTTGATAATGTGAAAATTACATCAAACCTAGTTTACCTTCTTCCTTTGGTATGCATAATTGAAGCATCTGTGTGCTATTTTAATTTACTTAGACATGCATTACTGAATTTAGAAATTTCCAGGGGTAGGTGAATTTATCATGATTCCTACACACATAACTCAGTTTTGAATCCCACAGAGTGATGCAGATTCTTCATAGGTTACTAGTACAATTGTTATTAGAGCTTGTTAAGGTATGCAAGACTTAATCATTTCAGTCATGGCTAAATCAATTTTTAATACACCTTGAGCATTTGTCACCTACTACCTTTTAAACATGATACTAAGGGAAAACTTTTCTTAGAGTTGATAAGGTAGGGAGAAAACTATTAAACAAGTACTGTAAAAAGTATTGAGTGGTGACAGGGGTTTAGTTCAGTGGTGCAGCTGCCTGCTTCACAAGCACAAGGACCCACGTTTGATCCCTGGTACCAAAAAAACAAACTATTGAGTGAAGGAAATCTACTTCATTAGCTGTTATGTTCTAAGAGTTGTGTGCAGGCACATGTTAAATATTCAAATCTTGTTAAGGCTCATACTTTGTGACAATAAGAAGACCACCTTTAGCCTCTTAGCTCTGACATTTAAAATCTGATTGGCATGGATTCGTTTGGCACACCTTAGATGTCCAGACAAGAGATGCTGGTCTCTTGGCACTGGAGAACTTTACTGCTGTCTTCTCACTTTTAACAAAGTCCTAAATATTGTGGAAAGATGGTATTAACCTAAATTGTCTTAACTGAATAAAATTATATTTGACCTGGTGTGGTGGCATACCCTTACAATCCCAGCACTCTCAAGGTGAAGTAGGAGGATCACAAGTTAAAGCCCACCCTGGGCAACTTAGTGACTTAGTAAGACCTTGTCTTTAAAAAAAAGAAAAGAAAAGAGTAAAAGGGGTAGGGAAGCCTGGGGATGTTACTCAAAGTAATGACCCTGGGTTCAATCCCTAGTCCTGCCCCCACCACCAAAAAAATCATTTAATGAGAGTTACACTTACTTTTTGATAGGTATTTGAGTGTGTGTGTATGTGTGTGTAAGAGGTTACTGGGGTTTGAAAACAGAGCTTTTACACTAGCGACATCCCCAGCCTTTTTATTTTTTGAGACAGAATCTTGCTAAATTGCCCAGCCTGGGTTTAAACTGTCTCAGTTTCACAGAGTTCTCAGATTATAAGCATGTGCCACCTCTCCTCAGCTTTTTAAAAATATAGTACCTGTATCAGATTTTTAAAAACTTAATTCTTTGAACCCCAATTTCCTTGTGAATTTTAGTGTGATTATCTGAAAATTCTGAGGATCCTGCAAGTGTGTAACAGTTGATATAAACATGTATATTGATTAATACCATACAGTACAAACTTTCAGCCTCCCAAAGAGCTGGAATTACAGGCTTCACTATCAAGCCTGCCTGGCTGTATCTTTTTTTTTTTTTTTTTTTAAAGGG